TATTACCCACTGCTGCCTCCCATTTCTACCTCCTCAATTTTGTGTGCCTGGGGTTACTGCAACCTTGAAGCACCTGTCTTATTTTTATTTATATTCTTCTGTTACCACTTTTCTTTGTACTTTTCAATAACATTCATTAGAAATTACTTAGTTTTTGCATAAGAAAAATCTGTGCTTCACACAAGTAAACAAACCCTAAATCAAAGTCGTTAAACAAACATTATAAAAGCTCTCCTGTTAATTACATTCCTGTGATTGTGTGACAAGGTAAACCAAAGATAGACGAGTCAAAAACAGACCCTCAAAGACATAGTCACTGACACCAGTTATATGAGGCATGATAAGCATCCAGCTCTTGTCCCTGCGTACCTTGGTGCCAGCCACCAGACAGACCAGCAGAACGCACAGCAGCCCGTAATCCCACCCAACATAAATAAATGCAATATCCTGGAGATGAATTGCATTGTTCCTCTATCTGAATCTGACCTGCTAATCCAATTACGCTACGAGTATCACTGTTACACAAGTAGCAGGTGCTCACCACCTTTTACAAACAGAAGCTACTTGTCTAAGTCTCCCACATACTTGGTAGTTTGGCCATTTCCTAACTGAGCCCAACATGCTGCTGCCAAGATACTGCAGACAGTATTAGAGGTAGCTACAATGAGGAGCTACTGCAGAAAAATAGTGGATAATGCCAAGGAGAAAGAGTCCTTACAGGGACTGCTTCACATGCATGCACACACACCGACAGCAGGTCAAAGCGGAGGAGGATGAATCCCTCAAGGGTGCTGAGAGTACAGCCAGCCCTGCCTCGCACAGGAGCTTCCACTCTTTGCTGAAACAATCCCCACCCGTACAAGTTCACAGAGAGCAAAAATGAGCCATTGTCATAAATGACATCTCAGTTAGCTCCCAAACTCTCTAGTCAGCTGCAATCAAAGATTTTGGGCGTTGTGCTGCTGTTCTTACAAGTCTTGTAAGTCTGAAGTATTCTTTACAGACTCCCCAAAATATCAGGTGTTAACCCATACGTCATCATCTCTCTAGTGCATGGGAATTTTGCCATTTGACTTTTCATGAGTTTTTTTAATACCTACATTTCATCTTTTAAAACCCAGGGTAATACACAGGCTCATGTAGTGTTTCTCACATTGTTGGTCTCACTGCATTTAGTTCACAGTCTGGCTTCCCCAGGTAAATACTGCATTCCTGTATAAAATTCACAGACACACCAAATTTAGTTTATCATGCAACCATGTTCGTTTCTTCTTATAACCCTACACCTTGTTCTTTCATATACCTCTTTGTACCTTCTTATTGAGAAACAAGCCTTAGATTAATACTTCTTTAACACCCTTATATGTACAGCAAACACCTGCCAAAGACACTCTCTAGGCTCAGATAATACACTGTGGATAATCTTCCTTTCTCTCTTTACACTTGTGTAATTCCACCGACTTTAAATACATCTGCTCTTGTTTCATGCAGGTAGAGAGGTGAAGCAAGCCCAGTGGAACAAGGCCAATTGAAAGTGTGTTGTTCACTGAAGGATTAGGCCAATGAATTCTAGGTATTATCTGTTACAGCAGCTCATTACTATTCCAAAACAAGACAAGCAGCATTCAGTCCAAATGCTTCAGGAGAACTAGAAGAAGGAATAAAGAGAATTTATGTGAAGTGGACATAAGTGAACACAGAAGAGACTCCAGAACCTGCACTTTGCAAACACCATCCACAATCCTCCTAAAAGCTGTTGTTTTCTCCACCTCTCCACTAAGATTTAATGGCAGAAGCAATATTGAGAGATTTCTCTGCCAAGCTTCATTAGTTTTAAACCATGTGCTAGAGTCCATTTCCTAAAGCACTGTAAAGCCATTATATAAACAATGAAAATCCAAAGATTATTAATCAAATTGTTTTTAAGATCCAGACATTTTCATCAGCCTGTGAACAGGGAGGCTGAATGGAAATGTGGCTGGGTCAGCAGCCTGGTATTTAAAGGCTTGGGTTCAGTATTCCTTTTCAGTCTTTCTGGGCAAATCACATATTTTTTTCCCAAACTCTACTTCCTTAGCTGTAAAATGTTGCAAGACAATTAAGTAAGATCCTTAGACACTGGGGTAACTGGAGAAACAGGAGGGCTATTTATGTTTTCAAATCATACAATTAGTCTTAGAATTTCATCTATCTTTTAAACTATTTTATTTGCTGCCTAATTTAACAAATGCCTGTGACTCTGAATTAGGTTGCCCAGGTATCGGCACACTGCTATGGTTTGGCTGTACCAAATTGCTATAGCATTAATATAGAAACACAATTACCACATGTAAATATTAAAAAGACAGCACTTTAACATCTGATAACAAGGACACCTCTGTAGAGGTTTGCTCCTCTCTGGTTCCTAGGATGACTGAAAGTAATATAGTCTGCATGGGCATAAGACAGCAAAGGGCTTGGGTGAGATTTAACATTAAGGTACAAGTTTTTATGACTCTATTTACTATAATGAGAACACATAAAGTCTCCTGCATTTCACTGTTAGCACAGAAGTCACCTAAGCACTGAGGTAGCTCTCAGCCCAACAAAATGGTAAATCAGGATAATTCCATCATGGTGTCGCTATTCTCTATAATGGTCCAATGCCTTGAATAACAGGACAGGGGAGTGCAGGGACACATTCCTGCTCACAGTTGCTTACGCACTCAGAGCTGTGCCTCAGCAGCAGTCACACATCCCGAGTATCTTACGTGTGCCACCAGGACACTGCCCTCGAGGTCAGCAGCTCACTGCATTAACAGCATGGCTGCAGCACCACGAAAGGGCAACATTTTTCTCTTCCCTGAGTTGAACACAGCAAACCCCAATTTTCTCTGCTTCCAAGGTTCAAGTTCACAATGTCCTTTCTGTTTGGCAAGTCATTTACAGTGCATAAGCATACGTTCTTCTGGAGCCCTCAAGTAATGAAAGAGGGAAAGAGCACACTGGCAAAAAATGTACAAGTGTAAGGATCAGGCTTAGCTTGTCCTCACCTTTTTAAAGTTAGAGTTGAAAGTCAGACCCTGGTTCAGCCTGGGGCTGTTGCAGAGCTTGTGATGTCTAGGCCATGGGAAGCACAGCCAGGAACAGAGCCCTCCCCGTACCTTCTGGTTCCCATCCTGTCAGATGCTGAGCACTCCCAACGCTTCCTGAAGCCAGGACAGCTCAGAGGGAGAACTCAGCTGGCTTTCCATAATAGTTGAAAGTACACTGACCCCCCTCCAGAGTAACAAATTGTACACTGGACTATACTCCTTTATCAGTGTATTAAAACATATTACTCACGTAGTCGCACCCAATGCTAGGCCAAAATCAATTCAATCATGCATAGTCCAGCCATATCATGAGCAGCAGCAATACCAAACACTAAGGCTGTACAATGATAAGAGCAAGATGATTTATTATATTCTGAAGAAGAAAAATAGAAAAAGGAAAAAAATAATAATTTCATCAACCATTCCCTCATGGGGGTCAGAACAATATAAAGAAAATAAGGACAAACGTACAAAACCAACCTGACAAGAAGGCTCTAGATGAAACACATTCAAAGCACTTGCAAATGATGTTGCTGGACACATGCAGAAGAAAATTAAATCAAGTAATTTTTTTCCTGCAAAACACAAGACTGAAAAACTGATTTTCTTTTAAAAAATCCAGTCCTGCCTTCACTCACAGACATTTGAGATAAAAAGATACAGTTTTAGTTATGATACATCTTTTTAAAGGAGAGATTCCCAGAACTAGTTTGACCACATATTTGAAAGCAGATTTTATTTTCACTTCCAACTTTATGCAGATGGCAGAGAAGCCAGCCCAGCTCAAAACAACAGGAGCTTAGCCACAGACTTCAAAGAAACCAGGTCCATACTTTTCTATTATCTGTTAATCCTCTGGCAACCATGGCATTTGTTTTTCAATAATTGGCAACAGATGTCCATCTCATCCAGAGCATCCTTGTATAATAGTTGTAAAATTTAAAAAAAAACAACCAAACAAACAAGCACAAAACAAAACACACATATATGAGAAAATATCAGCAGTATGAAATTCCTGAAGGGTTTCAAGGCTTGATCCTACTCAACTAAAGTCAATGTACTTCAAACTATTTTAGCTGGAGCAGGACCAAATCCTTACAGAACCAGATACACATTCCTCAAAAAGCAAAACCTTATGAGTGTGGTAACCCAAACATAGGAGTAAAAGATAAATTTTCTAAGTATACCTTGCCTGGCCCTAGCCAACATAATATATTTAACTAGGGTATTTCATTTACTCCTGACTTGGGCAAGATTCCCATTGGTTACGGAATTACTTAAGTAACACAGCAAAAGGACATCATGCATTAGTAAGCTAAAATATGAATCCGTGCTTATGGCAATAGCTTTCCCTTCTAATGCCCTATAATGGGCATCTAGAAAAGGAAAAGAGGCAAGAAGCTTTACAGAAAAAAAAAAAATCTGCATTTTGTTACATTGATGACCATCCTAAGCAACTCCACAGAAGTTTTCAAGGTTCCTTTTGATGTACATGGAGAAAGCAGAGTCAAAAATAGAACAACGTTAGGCAAGATTATAACACGTTTACTCATTAGTGCAGAATGCAAAATAACAGCTGATGCTTAATACAAACAAAATAGTATAATTTTCATACTCCTCACAAATACATGGATTCCACATAGTTTACTTCCTTGCCTTGAAAGAAATGCTTAAATGTAGTACGAACTTCATGTGTCTCTAAAAATATCACCCCAAGTTACCAAAGGAACTATTAGAGGGAAGAAAAATTAATTAGAAAGGGATATTTTAAAGCAAGTTGCAAGGAAATCCCCATTTTGTATGGCATAAAAGAAATGAGATCTACTGGTTGGATTTGGGTTTTTTTTTTGGGGGGGGGGGGGGGGTGG